TATTATTATTATTATTATTATTTTATTTATTATTATTATTTTGTTTTGTTTTATTATGTATTTTATAATAATAATTATTATTATTGTTTTATTATTATTATTATTATTATTATTATTATTATTATTATTATCTCAACTTACATCAGTTAAATGGACTATAAATTTAAAGTTAAACATTGTATAACTTACAAAAAAATGAGTTGAAACCTGATTAACTTATTAAAATAAGTTAAATATACATACAAAATGTTAGTTTTCTTCACTCTATCATTAATTGTGAACACAATATTTAAAATTTGATTAAAAAATGGTACTGTAATTTAACTAGCATTTCTCAATGGAAATGTTATGTTGCAATTATGTTATAATATTATTATTATTATTATTATTATATTATTATTATTTATTTATTATTATTAATATTATTATTTCATTATTTATTATTATTATTATTATTATTATTATTTTATTATTGTTATTATTATTTCATTATTTATTATTATTAATATATTTTTATTATATTATTATTTATTTTATTATTATTATTTTATTTATTATTATTATTATTATTTCATTATTTATTATTATTATTATTATTTATTGTTATTATTTCATTATTATTATTATTTTATTATTATTATTATTTATTATTATTATTATTTTATTATTATTATATTTTATTATATTATTATTTTATTATTATTATTATTATTATTATTATTATTATTATTATTATTATTTCATTATTTATTATTATTATTATTATTTATTGTTATTATTTCATTATTATTATTTATTATTATTATTATATTTTATTATATTATTATTTTATTATTATTATTATTATTATTATTATTATTTCATTATTTATTATTATTATTATTATTATTTCAACTTACATCAGTTAAATGGACTAACTTTAAAGTTAAACATTGTAACTTTAAAAAATGAGTTGAAACCAGATAAACTTATGAAAATAAGTTAAAGCAACATTCAAAATTTTAGTTTCCTGGACTCTCAATGGAAATGTTATATTGCAAGAAATTTTATTATCACAGAACTCAACCACAGTTTAGTATATGCATATTATCATATGTTAATCATATTCCCTTAGGCAGTATTGTTCAGATTTCATCCTGATTTGTACTGATGTTAGGTGTTTTTTTGTCACGCAGGTCTGTCCATCCGCAGTGTGTGCTGGCGGGCCGACAGAATCCTGGCCGGGACTCAGGACAGCGAGATCTTCGAGGTGATGGTCAGAGATCGAGACAAACCTCTGCTCATCATGCAGGGTCACTCTGAGGGGGAACTCTGGGCCCTCGACCTGCACCCAAAACAACCGCTTGCTGTGACCGGCAGTGATGACCGATCTGTACGGTCAGTTCACACACACACACACATACATATGGAGGACACACACACACAGATGGAGAATGTGGAAAATAGCTCTAAATTTAGCAGATTTTGAATGATTTAACTTCATCTTTATTTCTATAGCCCTTTTTACAATGTAGATCCTGTCAAAGCAGCCTAACATAAATGAAGAAATTAAGAAAAGTCATAACATTTCTAATTATGAAACATTCCAGCAAATCTAAATATCAAAAATCGTCAGCTTCTAATGGTACAAAAATATTAATTAATTCTAATTTATAATCAGACTTGATGTAAACAGTCTGCAGAAACACTTTGATTGACATTCTCCCTTTGGTTATGTCATCAGAGGGGGAAAGCCCCGCCCAGTAGTGACCACCTCTCCCTCATTAGCATAGAACATTGGTCTTGTTTTTGAATGCAATAGTGCTGACACATAGGCTTTTCTAGCTCCACCCTCTTTTGAAAAGTGCACAATCTCATTTGAATTTAAAGCGACAGTCACCAGAATGCCACAATTAGGATCAAATCCTAAAAGGGTCAGCTTCAGACAGATTGAAAACATAACTTTTGTGCTATTTTGAGCTGAAACACACACACACACACACAAATACACACACAGATACTTAATTTTTATCTTGTATAAAGGGGGCATAATTAAGAATTTTTAGATATTTGGACAAGAAACAAGACAAAACCTTCAGTGTAAGCATACAATTCCTACAGTACATGAACTCATGAATTAATTTCCATGCTTATTTTTCTCCCTCAGGCTGTGGAGTTTGTCTGAACACACACTGATCGCTCGCTGCAACATGGAGGAGGCGGTGCGCAGTGTTTCCTTCATCAATGACGGCTCTCAGCTGGCTCTCGGCATGAAGGACGGATCCTTCACAGTCCTGCGCGTCAGGTACTTCAGCCTTCGCTCCAGACCCATCTGCTTAAACCAGGCTTATTTTACTCATCTTAATAAATACAACAGTGGAACTATTGGTCAAAAACATTTTCATGAACTGAATAAAATGTAAGAAATCACAATAAATGAAAATCTGAAACTTAATAGAACAAATCAAAATCAAATAATAATTAGCAGAAATCATATTGGGTGGCACGGTGGCTCAGTAGTTAGCACTGTGGCCTCACAGCAAGAAAGTTGCTGGTTTGAGTCCCGGCTGGGTCAGTTGATGTTTCTGTGTGGAGTTAGCATGTTCTCCCCGTGTTGGCGTGGGTTTCCTCCACAGTCCAAACACATGTGCTATAGTGGAATTGAAAAAGCTAACTTCACCATAGTGTATGTGTGTGAATGAGTGTGTATGCGTGTATCCCACAACTGGGTTGCAGCTGGAAGGGCATCCGCTGTGTAAAACATATGCTGGAATAGTTGGCAGTTCATTCCACTGTGATGGCCTCTGAAGTAGAGACTAAAGGGGGTCACACACCAGAAGCGCCTCTCGGTGACGCACCACGTAGCGCCACGCAGCGTCATGCATTTCAGAATTCTAAACATAGGTTTCAATCAGGGTACACACACCAGCGCCACAAGCCGGCGGCTGACGGTGGCACCCAGCCACGACTCAGGACAGTGTTCATATTTCTGCCGCACCACAGAGCGCCATCTAAATAGTTTCATGTTAATTATCATGCGAATGTGCGTGTTTCGTGTTCCATACTGTTAACTGTCATGTGTGCGCCGTGTCGAGCGGCGCACCCGGTGTGTAGCCTGCTTAAGGGTGTACTCACACTATGTACAGTTGCCTTAAACTTGGCCGAAGCACGCTTGTTCCCCCTCCCATCTCACCCGACGGCCCGCACTCACATCGCATTCGGGCCTGAGCACGCTTACATCATCGATGATGCGTTGTTCGGTATGAAGCGCTCTCGCTCAGCACAGTGGACATTGCTTTATATCGTTATATCGTTAAAGTCAGGGGTGTCCAAACTTTTTGGGCCGAGGGCCAGATGCAAAATAAAAAAAACCTTGTCCCGGGCCAAATTTTACATACATCACACAGACACGCATATATATATATATATATATATATATATATATATATATATATATATATATATATATATATATATATATATATTTTTTTTTTTTTTTTTTTTTTTTTTTTTTTATAAAAATAAAAAAATAAAAAAATAAAAAAAAAAATATATATATATATATATAAAAAAAAAAAAAAAAAAAAAAAAAAAAAAAAAAAAAAAAAAATAAATATATATATATTTATTTTTTTTTTTTTTTTTTTTATATATATATATATATATATATATATATATATATATATATATATATATATATATATATATATATATATATATATATAAATATGTACACAAAATGACCATTTCTATGTCCAAAAAGAAGAGTATTTCTTAATTACTGTTTTTTGTTATTTCACCATTTTCTTTTTTTAAATAATACATATTTTTAATAATATTTTTTCAACAAATTATATTTTTTCTTAAATACTTTACAATTGTTAATTAAAAAAAAAAAGAAAAAAAAAAAAATATATATATGTTTATGTATGTGTGTGTATATTGTAATTTAATGCATTAATAATAACAAAATCTATATGAATCATTATAAACTTATATAAATATAAATTATTATATGAATTAAATTATAAACAATAAAAGTATCGGTTAAATCCATGCATCCATGCAGTCCAAAGTAAAAAAAAAGCGGATATAATGTGGATAAAGCGTTTTAGCTGTTCTATTTTATTATGGATGTTTGTACTGAACTGAATCAGGTCAAACCCGGTAATGTGCTGTTGTGTGTTGTGTCGTATTGTTCAGAGGCGTATGCAGACTCTAACAGTGGAGAATCAGACTCGGATCTGTCAGACGTCTCGGAGCTGGACTCGGACATCGAGCAGGAGGCTCAGATCAGCTACGAGCGGCAGGCAAGAGAACAGACATCGCTAACACTTTACTTGTGTTCATAAGACTGTTATAAAACCTTTGTAATCATGAAATGACACATCATGAATATAAAGGAGATTCAAATGTATGCATATGACAACTGTCATTAAAGTTCCCATGAAGTGCATTTTTTATTCAAAGTTCAACATAAATAAAGAGTGGGCGGGGCATATAGTAGCTCCTCCCCTTTAGAAATTACAGCCAATAGCATTTGGGTTTTCTCACAGCTCTGCAAGATTAAATTTTTTTGATCACATTTGTTCATGTTTAATCTGATAATTGAATTTAATAATGCGATGTAAAGTTGTCATAACAAAGACATCTCAAACAACGTCATCATAGCATTTAAACTGAACGAATGACCCTTAATGGCTGTTGTCTTAAGCATGCATTAAAATCTCATTCATATTCATGATGTGTCATCTCATGATTATAAAGGTTTCATGACAGTCTTAAAGTCAAGTTCAGCATTAGGCAGAGTTCAGACTCGCTCGGCTGCTTTAATGCTCATTATTTTCACAGCTCATTGACTGACTGTTGCTCCAAACACCCACAGGTTTATAAAGAAGATCTTCCTCAGCTCAAGAAGAAACTGGCGGGCTCTCTGAAGAGGCAGAAAGCTCCGGATGAAGGGCTGCGCCTGCAGTTTGTCCACGGGTACAGACACTCATAACTTTATTAGGACTTTCAGATAAAAGAAAAGCCCTCCTGTGAATTAAAATGATTTTCTAACGTTTCCCATGTGCTTTTTAACAGAGTGATTTTTTGCAACAGATTTTTAAACATAACAGTTTTAATATCTAATTTATAATACCAATTTTTTTTTGTTTGTTTTTGCCATGATGACATAATACATAATAATATATTGTACATAATATTTAAAAAATACTATAGAATATTTTCAAAAGGCTTTTATTTCAGGCAAACTAGAAGAAAAAATGATTTTCTCCAGAAGAAAAAAATATTACAGGAAATATATATAAAAATAAATAAATAATAAAATACAGCAGTTGAGAAATTTCTGAAAAAGGGTTAACAATTTTGCCATCAATTGTTTATACATCAGATATTAATATGTATTTTATTATAAGCTTCATTATAGTAATATATTTATGATTTTTGGCAATATATAATATATGGTATAATATAATATCTAGTCAGATAATATTTAAAATTATGATTTAATTTAATTATTATTATTTAAAATATAAAATAAACCAGTTATTAAAGATGAGTTATTAAAACTATTATGATTAGAAATGTGTTGAAAAAATCTGCTCTCCGTTAAACAGAAATTCGGGAAAAAATAAACAGGGGGGCGAATAATTCTGACTTCAACTGTATATATACATATATGTCTTTTTTAACATTTTGTTACATTTTTTGTTGGACATTCATATTTTCTATACATAATTTTGTATTTCTGTATAGTTTAAGCATATTTTCTATATGAATTAATCCAGTAATTTAATTTTAAAATATTATATATAATATTATATATATATATATATATATATATATATATATATATATATTTTATTAATATATATTTTTTATTAATATGTTGCATGGATATATCTTTGATGTCATGTTAACAGTGATGTGCTGTGTGTGTGTTTCAGGTACAGAGGCTGTGACTGCAGGAATAATCTATTTTACACTCAGGCCGGTGAGGTGGTGTATCATGTAGCGGCTGTAGCTGTGGTTTATAACAGGCAGCAACACACACAACGCTTTTACCTCGGACACGACGACGACATCTTGAGCCTCACCGTACATCCACTCAAAGACTACGTGGCCAGCGGACAGGTGAGACTAACCTGAATGACAGACAAAAGATGCCTGATGATCTATCCATACATCCACCCATCCATCCATCTATCTATCTATATGTCTATCTATCTATCTATCTATCTATCTATCTATCTATCTATCTATCTATCTATCTATCTATCTATCTATCTATCTATCTATCTGTCTGTCTGTCTGTCTGTCTGTCTGTCTGTCTGTCTGTCTGTCTGTCTGTCTGTCTGTCTGTGTCTGTCTGTCCGTCCGTCCGTCCGTCCGTCCGTCCGTCCGTCCGTCCGTCCGTCCGTCCGTCCGTCCGTCCGTCCGTCCGTCCGTCCATCCATCCATCCGTCCATCTATCCATCCATCCATCCATCCATCCATCTATCTGTTGATCTATCTATCCATCCATATATCCATCCATCCATCCATCTGTCTGTCCATATATCCATCCATCCATCTGTCCGTCTATCTATCTATCTATCTATCTATCTATCTATCTATCTATCTATCTATCTATCTATCTATCTATCTATCTATCTATCTATCTATCTATCTATCTATCTATCTATCTGTATATCCATCTGTATATCCATCCATCCATCCATCCATTCATCTAATGTATATCTATCTATATGTATGTATATCTATCTATCCATCCATCCATCTATCTAGTGTTCATTCCTGCTAAATAGTGTCTGGTTTTTAGCAGAAATTCACCCCACAGGGGGCGCTAATGATGGCTATAAAGGGTTTATGGTTAGGGTTACTCCACTATATGGAGAAAAATCCTGAATGTTTTCCTTGAAAGTCATTTCTTTGTGACTGAAGAGATTAGGAAATAAACATCTTGTGTAGCAGAGAGTAGAGTGAATTATGAGGAAACATTCATTTTGTAAGTGAACTAATCATTTAAATTGATATTTTTGCTGACTTTGCTTTGTAAAATGTGGTTATGAATGTGAAGTACAGACAGAGTGTTCATATACAGTAGGTGAGAGTTCAAAGTGGTTATTAACGCCGCAGCATCTACCGCCGCCGTTTGAAATAGGTGCCGCTCTGTTTTTAATGTATGACCGCAGTTTGTGAATGAGCCGCCAGGGGGCGCAAAGGGACGGCATGCGAACGGACAGAAATAGCCCATACAGCAGCTTTAAATATGCTACTGTGCTTGTAAATGATATTAAACAATAAGTCAAAGGATTATAATTCCTTCATTAATCATTTAAAATTTGTTAACACACTTTATTGTAAACTTTTTAAGTGCAAAGAGGACTCGTTTTGGAAAATAGAATTGGAGAAGTCAAAGACAACTAAAATGAAAGCACAAACATTTAGTACAAATAAGTAGTCTTAAATAAATAAATAAATAAATAAAGCAGCCTAAATATAGAAAGATGTTCAGTGTTTGCTATTTTGATTGGACTAAGACATTTTCAAGTTATGTTTCATTTCTCTTTTTATTTCCATTTTCGTTGTTGATTATATTTTACTATCTCATTTTATGTCTCAGTTATTGTACATAATAATAAACAAATAATGAAAATAAATGAATAATGAAAATAGGTCTAAATAAATTATTTATTTAAAGATATTGCCGTGAAACACTGAGAAACGGTCAGCAGCTGTATATGTGTGTATGTGTCTCAGGTGGGTCGAGATCCAGCCATCCATGTGTGGGACATCCAAACGCTCAAGTGTTTGTCTCTGCTGAAGGGTCAACATCAACGCGGTGTCTGTGCGCTCGAGTTCACAGGTCAGATTATTATAGCAATGCCCCTTTTTGAGCAGTTTTCACTTCAGATCACTTTAATTATCACCAGAAGTATGTGCACTATGAAGACTGAAATGCTTCAAGCCCCGGACAGTGCAAAATACAATGATATACTTAATACAAGATGCATCTAAATACATGTACATACAGTTGAATTCAGAATAATTCGCCTTCCTGTATATATATATTTTTTTTATATTTCCCAGATTATGTTGAACAGATTCAGGAATTTTTCACAGTATTTCCTATAATATTTTTTCTTCTTGAGAAAGTCTTATTATTTTTATTTCGGCTGGAATTATTTTAAACAGAAATTGGGGAAAAATATACAGGGGGGCTATTAATTCTGAATAAAAATAAAACACACACACACACACACACACACACACACACACACACACACACACACACACAAAGTAGACAAATAGTAATCAAGATAAACATTTAACAAATATTAACACATTCAACAACGTTTTATGAGTGTCTCTTTATATGCAAATGAGCTGCTGCTCCCCGCCCCCTTTTCCAGAAGAAGGCGGAGCCTTTACAGCTTGTGCTTCAGTTACTTCTGCAACAATAAACTAAACATCTGCATGTGTTTTAAAGCTCTATCAGTTTCAACACATTACATTTGGGTTTCTGTGCACATGAACACAAAGAAAAGCCACAGATTGTGTCATAGCATTGATGCTTTCTGACAAAGCTTCTTGATTTCAAGCAATCTGAATGATCGATTCCTGATTTTTATTTTTCTGCTAATTTTTTGTCAAGGTTATGTTGCAAATATGTTGCACTTGTTATGACTGGAAATTTGAAAGTACTGCATTTATTTTAAAATAAATATTTTGTAAGACTAAAATGTTGTTGTTTTACTTTAGTTATTTACTAAATGTATTCTTATTTTGTTTGTAAATATTAATGTTTTGTTATTTAATGCATCCCAATTGTGCAGTCTTTAAGCATGGTTCTGTTATTTTACTTGCAAAAATATTAAAACCATTTAACCATTTAGCGGATGGAAAGAGTCTAGTGTCTGTGGGTATCGATGAAGAACACTGCATTGTCATCTGGGACTGGAAAAAAGGAGAAAAACTGGCCAAATCCAGGTACAATACTAATATAATTGTTAATTGCAATATGTAATGTATTATAAATATATTATATTGCATGTCAGACATTTCTGTATAGAGTTTACAATTGTAAATTGTGTATTTTAAAATCATTTAGTAATTATTATTATTAAGTAAATTTTATTTGATTAATTATTATTTTAGTTTTTAAAAAATACATTATAATTTATTATAATACTTTATAGCTTATTATATGATTTTTGGTTTTCATAATGAATTTATTTTAAATTATATATACTAGTATGTATATAGTATTTTTTAAGATAAGATCTGTAATACATATTAAATGCATATTTACAACAAGCTGATCTCTCTGCCACAGAGGACATAAGGATAAGATCTTTGTGGTGAAAGGAAACCCGTTCCGCATGGACAAACTAGTGACGGTGGGAATGAAACACATCAAGTTCTGGCTGCACACAGGTAAACATGCTAACTAGCTAACATAGTGAACGTTGACATGAAAAAGTTCCTATTTCCTCCCATTTACAAGATATAAGATAACACATGCGTTTACTGACACTAATGTTATGCGGCTGTGATGATTAGATTTTCAGTGGTTATGAACTACAGCGATTTTACTGTCTTCATTACAAACATGCTCTGTTTTAAAAACGTTTTAAACTCATGAGGTGCATCTGATCACAGAGAGTTGGAACAGATCTTTTAATCCCAGTTTCTTTGCAAATCCTATTCTGAGGACGTTTATATGCAACCCAAGCTCATTCTGAAAACGTAGCCGCGCGGACGTTTCTGGAGACCGCGATTTTTGTGGCTGGAGGTACGTATGGCTGCATTTCGTTTTTTCAAGCGAACGCTACGGGGTGGTGTGACGCCGCTTTTCTTTGCGCTCGTCGGCGGACGGCTCAACTCCTCCGTGTGGAGGGCTTACCCGCAGCAACCAGTTAGTCTTGTTAGCTCGTCGTGTTCGGACGGCGAAGCAGAGACCCGGAGGAGGAGGAGCTGGCCGCGGCGATGACCGGGTTCGAGTCAGGGGAAGAGCGGTTCCAGAAATCAGTTATCCAAAAAATAAAGCGAACGAGTTCATAACGGGACGAGAATGTGGTGAAATCCGAAAGAGCGATCAAAATCGGACGAGGGCTTTACTTTTTCTGGACGGCTTTTGTAAATCATCGCTTGGGTTTAGGGAAGGAGGAGGGTGGCTGGGTCGGCCGATTGGCTGGCCGCCCAGTCAATTATTCAGTCAGTCAGTCGGTCGGACAGACGGTCGCTCGACAATGGCCTCCGGCAGCTTTTTACGCGGGAATAGCGCGGGTGAGAACGGCACGGGCTCGCAAGAGGCGTTCGAGACGCGAAAAAGCGCGCACATCGGCCTCTTGCGGATTATCGAAAACAAAAACTGCACAAATACGTATCTCCGGGACGTATTTCACGGTCTCAAGAAATGCCCGCGGGGCTACGTTTCCAGAATGAGCCTGGGCTCCCTTGGCGCTGCTTCAGCAACATTACTAGTTAAAGAAGTTGGGAATTTCTCAACTTTTCAAGCGGCAAAGGAAGTGTCAGCCAATCAGATCGCTTTATGCAAATACCACCATAACCAGTTGCAGACTAATTTCATTGGCTGAAGCTGCTATGATGATCGCATTAGCCCTAACTTCAGGCACGCCCTTCGTCAAGTGTTGACGATGAAGCCCCGTGTGAATCGAGCAAGAGGATGATAATATGTAAAATGGCCATAAAGAGGTTGGTGTCATGATCTCGATACACATTAGCTCGAGTAACCTGAAAATATGCCGATTTTGTTTGATTCGGACATTTAGAAACGAAACTTATGCGACAGATGTTGTTTAATTTTATTGGTGTTCCAAATATGTAATGTAATCGTAAGCTTGACAAACAGTTTTGGAGAGTTTGATGCTTCCCCATTCAGACAGAATGCCAGAGCATACTGCCCGAGAGGCATTTCAAAGATGGCCACCGAGTGAAATGACTTGACTTAAAGGGACTTTGTGTTAATGCACACCTGTCAATCAATTCGGTGGGTGGGGAAAACTGCTATGTCAGGGTGTGGCCTCAAAGTCATTGGGATTTGGATCCTATTTTAATGTCAGTACATAAAAAATAAGACTTGTTGTGTTTCTATCTCTCCAGTATGACTGTGGACACACTATACCGACACACAGTTCTGTCTAAGCAGCTTCTAAAAGTTAATTTAGCATCATAGGTGCCCTTTAACATCCTGAATCACAGCACTTGCTTTCCAACTCAAGTGTTTTAGCTGAGACATGTGAAGCTGCAGCCGGTCTGCAAAAAATGACTGTGAGGAGAATCTGCCACATCACATCCAGCCCTCGTACACTGATATGACTGTTTTGTCAACTTTACCATCAGCACTCCGTATTTCACCAATTAAACGAGCGCAGGAGCTTTTATAAGAGCTCAGTGACTCAAAGCAGGATGCTCAAATAACCCAATGCCTTCAGGAGCGCTTGTGCCTGCAGCTCTGTTAGAACTGCTAATTGCCTTTATGTAAGTCCATGGATTACTTCGATTTATGGACGTTTCTTGTACAGATTATATTTAGGTTTATACTATGCCTCTGCTTGATTCTGATTGGCTGATAAGCATTTTAAGGTGTGCATTTATTTTTGGAGGAACGCATAAAGTAGTTCCGGCAGGTTTTGAGCTCATTACAGCTCCATGTCACTACGCTGAATAATTATAGTTATTTTAGTTATTAAATCACAGCAAAACACAACAGAAGGCTTTGGAGGAGACTTGGAGGAAACTAGTGCTACACACAGGAGCAACTTGAGGAGAAAAACCTGACAAATGTCTGAAATACAACATCTGAAGAGCGACTGCAGCTGTGGGAGACAGTATAATTGGAATAATGCTCTCCATGCTGTTGAATTATTAGAAAATAATGCTCACCTGATGTGTAACAGCTACTCTGCCTCACTCTTTGTCTGCAGCACCACCTCAGGATGATGCATTATTGTCCAATAATTCAACAGCCTGGAGTGCATTATTCCTGGCAGAGCTATTTACTCACAGTATTTGTACAGTCAGAGAGTTCTTAGCTGTTTACAGCCTCTTTTTTTTCAAGCCAACATCAAATGCTTGTCATCAAGCTTCACTCCTCTAGTTTTAAATTGCTTTATATTTATATTTATATTTGTTTTTATATTTATATTATATTATATTTATATTATATTTGTATTTGTGTTTATATTTATATTTATATTATATTTGTATTTATATTATATTTATATTTATATTTATATTATATTTATATTTGTATTTATATTTATGTTTATATTTATATTATATTTGTATTTATATTTATATTTATATTATATTATAT